TCGTTCACCTACTGCCCATGACTGCCTCGTCGCTACTCCTATACAGGTTTAACAATAAAATTCATCTATAAAAGTTTTATCACCTCATCAAATTTTTTTTCCGACACAGGTATGGGTCGACGCCGCGGGACAGATATTCTTCTCGCTAGGTGTCGCTTTCGGCGGCATCATGACGCTGTCGAGTTACAATCGCTTCCGCAACAACTGCTTCCGCGACTCCCTGGTGGTGGCTCTCGGAAACTGTGCAACGAGCGTGTTTGCCGGCTTCGTCATCTTCTCAATCCTGGGTCACATGGCCTACGACCTTGGCAAAGAAGTGAGCGAGGTCGCCAGCAGTGGTGAGTGACGTCACAATTCATATATATATATATATATAAATACATATATATATATATATATATACACACATTCTGTCAAGAGCTAATAAAAACTGATAATATTACTGTCAAATAATACTGTAAAGAGCTAATTATAATAAGTATGATTTGCCATTGATTCTGTATTCGTTACTACGTTCGTTCTATGCGTTTCAATACTCGTGCATTCCTACCCGTCTATTCGAAATTAGTTTTAGTTTGTCTTCTCACACGGTGCAATGTAGAGTCTCCTTTCCCAACCGTAAAACGCAAAACAAATGCCGTTTCGCAGGACGTTCAGAAGATCTAAGTTGCAATCGCGTCAACAACTAGTGCCTTTATATATATTTATTTCATCCCCACATGTTTAGAAAAGAACTTAGTTAGGGGACCCAAGTCTACAAATCGGTTCAGGCAATACTATATGCAATACTATATGCTATTCTACATTCTAATATATTCGATATTCTATTTTATAATTCTGTTTCATATACTATATAGTGTCATAGTATATATTCTATATTATGACACGCCTGTTAATATATTTAGACTTAGTACAACTTTAAGTTGGCTTAATTAACATGAAGCATTATCACTCTGCCAGAGGTTCATAGTGTGTTAACAAAACCGCGTCCACTGCCTGTGTAGGTTCTGGGCTGGCGTTCGTTGCCTATCCCACCGTACTAGCGAGACTGCCCGTGGCGCCACTCTGGTCCATCCTCTTCTTCTTCATGCTGCTTACGTTGGGACTGGACAGCCAGGTATGATTCATGAATGTACGAAGGTATAGACGTTGATGTCAACTACAGCACACGTTTATACGCTATAGCATGCACGTGCACGCCCCCACCCCATCCTGAAACACACACAGAGAGGGACGCACACACACGCACACAAGCACGCACGCACACATACCCATGTAGAGAGAAAGAGGAGAGTGAGAGAGGGAGTGAGAGAGAAAGAGAGCGCGTGCGCGAGAGAAAAATAGAGAAAGATAGAAAGAGAAAGAGATGGGGATAGAGGGAGAGAGAGAAATGCACACATGCACCCACACCCACACACAAACACACACCTACAAAGACTCCCACACAGTATCACACACAGCATCACAAATATTAAACACAAGCATTGTATAACACTAACAGAATTCAGCACCAAAAGTAAGCCGTGTAATTCATCATGTAATTTTCTAATCATTGTTTTTTTTGTCATATTTTGAACGTGCTAGTTGGTATCATGCAATTTTCTAATTAATGGTTTTCTTTATATTTTGCTCGTGCTATAGTTGGTATCATGTAAATTTCGAATCAATGTTTTTTCATGATATTTTGCTCGTGCTAGTTTGTATCATGCAATTTTCTAATCAATGGGTTTTCTTTATATTTTGCTCGTGCTAGTTGGTATCATGTAATTTTCTAATCAATGTTGTTTCTTTATATTTTGCTCGTGCTAGTTGGTATCATGTAATTTTCTAATCAATGTTTTTTCATGATATTTTGCTCGTGCTAGTTGATATCATGTAATTTTCTAATCAATGTTGTTTCTTTATATTTTGCTCGTGCTAGTTGGTATCATGTAATTTTCTAATCAATGGGTTTTCTTTATATTTTGCTCGTGCTAGATGGTATCATGTAATTTTTTAATCAATGTTGTTTCTTTATATTTTGCTCGTGCTAGTTTGTGTTCTTGGAGACGATCTTTACGACCTTCATGGATGGATTTCCCGCCACGCGCCGATACAAGCCGTTAATAGTTAGTCTCATCGCTGTTGTACTATACCTCGTCGCTCTGCCCATGTGTACGGGGGTGAGTTCAGGTTCATACCTTACACATCTAGGCAATAGCTTATGATACAATAATTATTAATAACACAACAAATAAAACCTGCAACAAACAATCAATTCGAGTTAATAAAATTAATAATAATACAACACTAGCAATACAATTACAATACTAACAATGCTAACAAAAACAATGCAAAACAATTATAATACAACTAATCATAATACAATAATGTAGTATTAGTTCTTGATCTAAGTGTATTAACCACGAAGACGTAAGCAATAACATGCGATCTATACCTGAACTAGAGCACTCGGAGAGCACAGACCTCCGCCAAGGCAGCTGAATTCTCTCAATGTGAA